ACACTGTGAATGGCTGGTCAACACAGCATTATACTAATTGGTTGATCACCTTGGTATTTATCAAATGATCGCATTGTTGTACTTTTCAGCCTCCTATACCACAACAGTCAGAATCTGCACCAACAGCAAAACCAAGGAAAACAAAGCGTGAAAGTAAAAAAATAAAGCACCCAGCCAAGAAACTATTATATATAGATATCAAAACAATCAGCATTGGTGAGTTGTGTAAATATGTAAATTTTTACTTCCATGTGTAACACATACAATGGAAGTTATTGCTGTTTGTGTGTGTGGTCATGTGCATCCATGCATGTGTACACGTGTGTGTGTAGGTGTGTTATGCGTCCTCGGTGCACATGAATTTGTTTATCAGATGGATTTAAAATGGCTGACTGGTGGCCATTTTGTTTTAAAAAATGCGATTCTAGAGCCATATCTCTGACATGCTTTCACTGATGTTCAAATTTTATATATTCATTATACGTCATGTCATATATACAGATGTATCGGTTTGATGACCTGATTCAAAATGGCCGATTGATAGCCTTTTTGTTTTAAATAATAATAATTCCAATACCTCTCATTATGAACAAGTACTTGTATTATATATATTACTATACACAAAACTATATAACTTAGATTTGATAACTAACAGGGACTGTGCCATGCATGGCTTGTTTTATTTGAATTCTGTCTTCTTAAGTTTATATAACTAGTTTTTAATGAGATATAAAGATAAAAGTAACTTGAGAGTAACTACCAAATATAAAAAATGTCAGAAATGAGTGGTCATTAAATATCATTAGAATGGGTCAAATATTCTCAGCCATCACAAACAAGTACAGGCAATGATTTTACTAGCCAACTTTGGCCCATTCTATCAAAAAAATCTGTTGTCTTCTACTGAATCCTGTTCTGACTTGTCTTTGAGAATTCAAGTTACGTGCTGGCGATTGTTGTCATTGAGACACTCATTTTTAATAAATTCATAGGCATTTTAGTTTTGTGATAGAAGCATTTCAAGAGGAATGTATCCAGCGCAATATTAAGCATATGTAGAGCAAAATATAATCAGTTCATAAACTGTATGATGCTTCCTCCTATTCAGCCAAACCTAACTATTTTAAATTTGATTTCTTATTCAATACGATTAGGTCGTGAGCTCGGTGAGGGAGAGTTTGGAGCCGTATTGGACGGTATGTGGACCAAAGATAATGGCTTAAGAGTGCAGGTGGCACTGAAGACATTACGTGATGATAATCTGTTGAGTAGTAATGAGTTCTTCCGTGAAGCAGAGATAATGGCTGGATTAAATCACCCTTGTATAGTGGAATTATATGGAGTAGTTTCTGGTGCACGTATGATGATAGTAAGTACACAGACAGACAGTTTTTGAGACCCTCCTCTTTTCTCAGTAATATGGCATATCTTGTCTGATTGGATGTAAGATATTTTGAGAATTATAAAAACATAACAATGTTTGTCATCTGAAACTATAAACCATAGACATATACTTGCCTGTGAAAACAAATAGATACTACAGTTGTTGGTTTAAATTGTTCAGAATGTTATTCAGAAAAATCAACATCATATTTATAATCTATATCACACATAACAGATTATTTGCCAGCAGCGAAAACAAGAAAACAAGGTGTTACAGTAAATAACATATTTTCAAGAAACATGGGAAAATCATGATTTATGAGCGATTCACCAAATGTTGCTGTAGTGAAAATGTTCCATTCCCTTAAAATCATATTTAGTGTTTATAACATGGGTAGTTATAGTGGTCATGAATTATTGAAAATCAAAATAAATTATATTTGTATGATGAAATGCTTTGATATTGGATTCTAATTGTTCTAAAATTGTTTAATTTTACAGTTTTTATCTGAAAAAAAATATTTCATACTGGGTTAAAGAAAATTGCTGACCTTTGTCCAAATTAATAATTACATAATAATTTTTAGACAAATACAGATTAGAGGAATTCCAACAATGACAACAGAATATTTTCTAATCCAGGTTCAAGAACTAATAACAATGGGAAGTTTACTAGATTACTTGTTTGATCATAGAGCGGATATAAAGGAGATTGATTTCAAAACTTGGGCTGCTCAGATTGCATTTGGTATGATGTATCTAGAGGAGATGGGCTTTGTACACAGAGACTTGGCTACAAGAAACATACTCCTTGCTGATAGGACTAAGGTATGTATTATGGTCTATTTAATAGTCCCAGTTTTCAAACAACTGTTAATTTGGGGTACGTCCATGTCTCTGGAATCATTTCTCAGACATGCTGTGACCATGGAAGGTAGAAGGACAGGGGAGAGGATGCTATTCTCCCATGTTCCATGAATGTTTCAATTTATTTACTTGCTGAACATTTGCATAATCAGATTACATGAATATTTAGCATTAGAATCGGAAAGTTGATTTTATTTGTTTTTGAGATTCAAATGAAAATGGCCGACTGGCAGCCATTTTGTTTTTATTCATGTCTGTGCTGATTTCTTACTACCGGTAATACTGATATGACTTTCTAAAAACTTTATTCACCTGTCCAGAGAAAGTTTGATATTTAACTACCTAAAATCTGTCTTGAATTTTAATCTATAATTGTGCTAATGGCCTTGTGTATAAAACTTTGTTTCTTTACGAATCAGTTCAGAGCATACACACTTACAGCAACAAGATACAAGTTAGTCCAGTGCTTAAACAACATTTCGGGATTAAAATGTCCATGTGACTTTACATTAAAGCCATAGATAT